GCGGTGGTCGTCTATGGCCGCGCGGGTTCGTCCCTGACGGAGGCGGATTTGTTCGACGTTTGCCTTTCGGAACGCCCCTGGTGCCGCTGCTTTGCGGGGCTGCGGGCCTGCTTCCGCGCCAGACTCGCCAGCGGGCCCACCCCGGCTCGCAGCGCTCTCACTTTGCTCGGCGGGGACTTCAACTACGCCGCGGAGCCTGGAGGGCGACGGGCGCTGGCCTCGCAGCAGGACTCCGGTGGTCGGGATCAAGGGGAATAGCGACATTCTCAGTCTGCCATCGGGCTGCCATTCCATTTACACGAGATGCACCAGCCAGAGTTCACGCACTCTTCGGCGAGTTCGCGATCCCGAACTGACAGGTTGTATTGCAACCAATATGTGGCCGAACAGCTGGACAGGCACCTCTCCTGCTGCGCACTCCCTTGGAAAGTTGGCCTCTCGGCGCGCCGCGCGGTCACCTTCGCCCGCCGCGCCCAGCAGCGCGCGCCCGCGTCGCAGCGACCAGTCCCAGAGCAGGCCCTCCAGCACCCAGATTACGCCCGGCGCGCCCACTTAGAGCGCGGGGAGCTCCTTCGTCTTCACCTGGAGGACGTTGGCACCCAGAAGCTGCGTCACCTCAAAGCGGCGATGCGGCAGGTTGGCGCTCATCTCGCAGCGGGGCTCTCGAACTGCCCGCAGGCCGAGGCGCTCGACCACAGGCCGGGGGTCACCATCCGCTTCGTGCGCTCCTTCGAGCGGGGGCTGCTGGGGGCATCTCCTCGTGCTTGACCCGTTGTCCACATATGCGGCAATTTGTCGACAACCCGTGCGACTTCACAGGGGGCGTTGCAAGCAAGCTGCACCAGGTCCGGGAGCGCGCGCTCGGGCTGGCTCGCTCCGACGCGCTGGACGAGTTGGGTGAGTCTCACCAGGCGCTTCACGGTCCCGGTTCTTTCCAGGCTGCAAAGGCCAGGGCCCGCAACAACCGGTTAATTTTCCGACCTCGACCAGGGCGGTTTGCTACAGTCCACGCGGTGCAGGACGCGCGGGGAGAGCTGCAAAACGCGCCAGACGGCATGGCGGACGCTCTTCGCCAGCGCTGGGCCGGGGTCTCCCAGGCGCTGGGCATCGACGAAGAGACGCTGACCGCATGGGTGGATGACGACGCGGACGCCCGCCCGTTATCGCACCTCGCCCCGTTCCCTGCTCGAAGCTTCCGGTTGAAACACAAACACATCAGGCAGGCAATCTGATGCTCGAACAGCTCTTTGACAGTTCCCTTTCTGGCATGGAGGCAGGTCGAGGGATTGGCCACGAGCGTGCTGTGACAGAGGCGTTCGGGGACATCCGCGGGGGGGGGCGGGGCTCGTCGGCTCCAGGAGCACGCCCCGGACTTCAATCACAGCCTCCTCTTCTTCATCCCGAAAAGTTCGCCGGAGCAGGCCGAGGGCGGGGAGCTGTTCCACGGCGCCTCGCAGGTGAGGCCGCTGAGCGTGACCGACGCGGACAGACGGCTCTTCGCTAACGCCGTGAGGCTGCTTATCGACGACGCGGTGGCCGCCTGGATCTCTCCTGCCCAACGCGGGTTCCTCCCGGGGCGGTCCATGCTTGCTAACGTCGTGGACGTCGACGAGGAGATGGCGGTTCAGTATGTCGAGGGTCCAGGAGCACTGGCCATATATTTCGACTTCGAGGCCGCGTTCCCGTCCTTGGAGCATGCTTTCCTGATGCGGCTGTTGCGGCATTTCGGCTGGCCCGACTGGCTGGTCCGCTTTGCCCAGGCGCTGTGCCAGGGCAACTTCTGCGACATTGCGTTGAATGGGGGCGAGGTGCGAAGGTTTCGCGCTCACCCGCGGGGCGCGGCAAGGCTGCCCGCTGTCGCCGTTACTTTTTCGTCGCCTCTGACCTGCTACTGCGCGGGATTTGGCGCCTCCTGCCCGACGCCACAGTCAGGGCTTACGCGAGCGACCTCGCCCTCGTAGCAGCCCGGGCTCTCTCGAGGCTCTCGGTGCTCCACAAGCTGTTCGACGACTGCGACTGGATCTCGGTCCTCCGCCTCAGCTTCAGAAGACCGTGATCGTGCCGCTCTTCGCTTACCCGGTCATGGAGCTGCGGCAAGACATAGCTGCCCAGGCGCCTGCGTGGGGGGGCATGTCGATCAAGGACCAGGCCAAATATATTGGTTTCGTTCTGGGCCCCGGGGCGGACGAGGCCAGCTTGGCAGCGCCGTGTCTTTGTAGCCTCGGTGGTGATGTTTGTTGCCCAGCTGCGCCCGCTCCCTTCTATGTTCGACCAGGTCGAGAAGCGAGTCTGTGCCAAGCTGTTCCCAGGGCCGGGCTCTTGGACGCGGCCAGACGTTATGACCCGCCTTCGGGCGTTGGGCTTCCCTTGCGAACTCATGGACGTGCGCTGCGCCGCATCGGTCGCGCAGGCAAGGGTCTGCCATTTGGAGGCTTTGCAGCAGGGGGGGCTTCAAGTTCTGCCCCGGACAGCGCGCCTCCGCCGCTGCCTGCTGGACCGCGACGGTCCTCTTGCGTTTTCACCTGCAGTGCAGAAGCGGTTGGACAACAACTCCCTCTTCGTGCTTGAAGCGGCGGCGAACAGGGTGAACCAGTTTCACTATCGATTGGGGTGGCCGACGCACAGAGACACGCTCGACACACGCTCGACACACGCTCGACACGACGCGTATGACGAATCTGACGATCAAAACCTGCTGATCATGATGCCGCAGAGCGTGTCCGTGGCTGTAGATTTGGTCGGCGACCCGCTCGTGCCTGGCGCCCCCCGCGACGCAGGCTCGCCGCAAGGCGACGTGGCAGGCAGCGCAGGTCCGGGAGCTGCTGGCGGAACGCCCGCTTGCTGCCGCCAGCGCTTTTCTCTGGCGTCGTTTAGAGTACTGGCGCGTGGACGTGTTTCCGGGAGTGCGCGTGCGCGGTCTTTTGAAGCACCTGGAAGTCCTAGGCCGCACGGCGGCTCCTCCCTGCGTGTTCGCTTCTGTCCGCCGCACAGCTTCGAACGGTTGGGTTGCCGCCCGCCGTTTGCAACGGGGGGCGAGATGTGTTTTCGGTTGCTCCACAGGCGCTGACAGTATCCAACACTATGCGGCTTGCAGCTGTTACCACATGTGGTGCAGCGCCCACTGCGCCCTGACGAGGCCTTCTCCCAGCTCTGCTCTCTCGTGCTTCTTGGGCCTCAGGAGTTCTACATCGCTGGAGGGTTCGGCCGCGTCGTTCACTAGCGAGGAAGCACAGGCGCTCCGCGGGGTCAGCGTCTACGCGCTGTACAAAACCCATATTGCGCTTCGACACGGGGCCGCTGAGCAGGCCGAGGCGGGGTACGTTTTCAAGGCCGCGCTCCAGGAGGCGTGCAAGGACGGCCGCTTGGGGGATCTGCTTGCTCGCTCGCGCCGTCGGCGCCGCGAGGATTAGGTCAGCTGTTGCTCTGCTGCCTCTCCCTTTCGCCCCCTCCTCGTGGTGCCTCCCCCCTCCCTGTCTCTTCTTCCCGCTTGGTGTTTAGTTTCGTCGTCGACGCTGTGAGTGTGATGTAGTGGCGCTGGGAATCGCCACGTTGTGCTAGTTACGATGCCTCTTCAGCATGTTGCGTCGCGGATTTGTCTCTCCGCTTCGACTAGGGCCCAGATCTGCAGTTCGCCATTCTGTAATGCGCAGCTTCGCTCGTGGTTTCACGGCTGATCAGCTGTGCGGTTACCTTCACGAGCACGGTGTGCAGTACTCGGTGGTTTCCAGTTCGTGGCACATGCTCGCCTATGGCAGGTTGGCTCGTGCACCGACGCTGGATTCATTGGCAGCCTGTGCCTGCAAGGCCCAAGCATCCGATTAGTGTTCCACTGCAGCGGGGTATTTCACATTTACGTGGTCATTCATGGAGTTTGTGCCCACTTAGTTGTATAACTCTGCAGTTTCCCCCCAGCCAGCGAAAAAAGGGCCACACTTTGTTGGGCGTAGTGTTGGCTCCGTTGGTGCAGTTCCCCCTCTTGTCCTCCTCCTCCTCCTCCTCCTCCTTCTCCTCTTCCTTCTCGAATGCGAAACGTTGCGGCTTAAAAGTTTGAACGCCGTTCTCGCCCGTAGCCGGAAGTGCCGCTTCGCAGTTTTAACGCCGTTTTCGCCCGTAGTTTCCTCGTTGTCGATCGCCTGTTTTGAGTTGGTTCCGTTTGTGCGGGACTAGCTTTGGCGCTCTGTCATTAGTATGTTAAGGCTTTGGTTGCCGTGCAAACAAAAAGGATTGACCCGTGTGGCGCGAGCGCGGCAGCAGCAGGAGGAGGAGGAGGAGAGAGCAAGAGGAGGCCAGAGCAGGGGAGGCGATGTCCATTTCGGTTCCTCCGATTCGATTCGATTCGATTCTGAAGGATTCCGATTCCGATTCGATTCGATTTCGGATTCCGATTTGGGCTCCGATTTTTCCATGGAGGTTTACCAGCCTGCCAATCTCCGCTGATTCGGCTGTTCCCGACTCGTCTGCTGATTTTCGACGATCCGATTCATTTCGATTGCAGATCCGACTTATCGATTCTGGCCTCTCCTGGGGATTCCATGCGGGAGGGGAGGGATCACAGGGAGGCCTCCTCCAGAAAGCTCCTGCCCCTCTGCCCCCCCCGAGCGTTTTCTTCGGGTGGAGGGCAAAGAGTGAAATCTGAAGTGCCGTTTCGATGGATTCTCGAGGCTTGACTCTGCAAAAGGGGAGTCACAAGACGGACGGCTTTTCGAGGCGCCAGAGCCCATCTGGATTTCACCCTGAGCCCTCCACCTTACGAAGATTTGGAGGCCTGGAAATGGGCACCAACACCAACACAAGGGGGTTGCCTCCACAGGGGGATGATGATCCTAGATTTCGGTGTTGGTGGTAATATGTCGGTCACCTTGGCAGCCTGAGTATTACCACCATCACCGAGCTCGGGATCCTCTTCCCTCGGTGGAGGCACACGGCCGCTATTGGAGTTGGTGTCAATCTCTAGGCCTGTCAAAGATGCTCAGCCCCGCCCCCCGCCCCCCGAGCCGAAGGTGGCCCCACCGCGCACGCCGGCCGCCGGCAAGCTGGGCGCCAAGGCCCCGCCGTCACAGGCGCGCGGCTCGTGCGCTCTTCGGGAGGGAAAGAAACACACAGACACACAATTAGTTAATCGTCGATTCCCCAGAATATATGGGAAACAACTATGGAAAGTGGGGGGGAAGGCAAAAACACAGAAAATATGGGAAACTATGGGGAACATTTTTATTTGTGCGTATCTATTTGTGTGTCCTGGGGCCCCTTCAGTTCTCGCGCGCGCGCGGCCGCGCGATCGCGCGGCCGCGCGATCGGCCACCCCGCGGCAGAGCCCGCGGCCGCGGCCCGCCAGGGGGCGGCGGCGGCCCGTCGTGGTCGCGGGTCGTGTGTCCGCCGTCGAAGAAGCGCAGGAGGGGAAAAAACACACAGACACAATGAATCGCCGATTCCCCAGAAAATATAGGAGAATAGGGGAAGTGGGGGCGAAGCCAGAAACCAAGAAACTATGGGAACATATGGGGAATCCTTTTATTTGTGTGTTTATATATATATATATATATATATTTATATATACATATATATGTGTGTGTGTGTGTGTCCCAGGGCCCCTTCAGAAACACAAAGTTGAGGACAGGAACTTAGCGGAGGCCTGGAAGCACGACGGACGCCTTCAGGGAGCCCACGGAGGACGAGACGCGCGCGGCCGTGTGCAGGAGCACGGCCCCCCCCCCGTCCGCGAGACCAGCCCCGCTTCACGAGCGTTCGCGCCGCGCGTGCTTTCGAGGCCAGCGTGGATCCGCGTGGCGCGTGGCGGTGTGGCCAGCGCCGTCGTGTGTCCGCCGTCGAAGAAGCACAGAGTGGAGGGCGGGAGAAGCCCAGACCCTGAGCTTAAGTCGGGTCTGTCCCTCTACAGGCTGTCCCTCTGCAGGGGGAATATTGCAAAAGGTAGTCTAGAAGCAGTCTGGGGGCGATTTCCTTTGAAAGTATTTGTTGGGCCATTTTGGGGGTATGTTTTATTTTGCCGTACAAGATCCGCCTGTAGGGGGACACGCCCGATCTCACCCGAATCCTAATATCGAATAACAAAAAATAGCATAAACATAAACTTTCGGAGGTCCGCGCGGACCGTCGGAAGTTTATGTTTGTGCCGTTGCTCCTCCTTCCCTAATATCATGATGCAGATGCGGCCTCACTTAGGTCCCCGCCTTTGCTTTGGGATAATCATTTTCCGGGCGATCTGGCTTGGCACATCTGCAGAACAGACCCCCCTATCCCAAAATGTCTTTGGCCCTCCGAACTTGGGCCCCCCCACAGGGCTAGGGGCCCTTCCTTGGTCAATCGACAAAAAGGCGGCAGAAGCAGAAGCTTCCAGAGGTCCGCGCCAGAACAGACCCCCCCATCTCAAAATGTTGTTGGCCCTCCGAACTTGGGCCCCCCCCACAGGGTTAAGGGGTCCTTCCTTGGTCAATCGACAACAAGGCGGCAGAAGCAGAAGCTTCCAGAGGCCCGCGCGGATTTCGGGGGTGGGCGCTGGGCTGCCCCGGGCGGCGCGCCGGCAGGGAGGGGTCTGGCGCCGATCCAAGAGGTCCGCGCGGAGCTCCGGAAGTCTGTGCTGATGCGGTGTTTTGTTGTTGTTGGTGGTGTTGGTGTTGGTGTTGTCGTTGTTGTTGTGGTTGTTGTGCTGTTGTTGTTGTTGTTGTTGTTGGTGTTGTTGTAATTATTTTTGTTGCTGCTGTTGTTGTTGTGGTTGTGGTTGTTGTTGGTGTTGTTGTTGTTGTTGTTGTTGTAGTAGTTGTTGTTGTTGTTGTTGTTGTAATTCTTGTTGTAGTAGTTGTTGTTGTTGTTGTTGTTGTTGTTGTTGTTGTGGTGGTTGTGGTTGTGGTTGTTGGTGTTGGTGTTGTTCTTGCTGCTGTTGCTGTTGCTGTTGTTGTTGTTGTTGCTGTTGTTGTTCTTCTTCTTCTTCTTCTTCTTCTCCTAGGCACTTAACTACAGGCGGAGGAGCAGAAGCAAAGGTGGGGCAGTCGGCGGAACAGGACAGCGCAGATGCCGCTGGCAGGTCCTGGAGAGCCCTCGCCGCCACGGACGGAAGTTCCTCGGAAGTTCTCTGGTGGTCGTCGTGGGGGTCGTGGTCTTCGTCGTTGCTGTCATCGTCGTCCTGGTCGCGCGCGCGTGTTTTACCAAGATATAGAGGGACTACGGAGTCTGCCGCGCCTCAGGTTGCAGTCCCGCCGCTCGAAGGCTTTCTCGGCACATGGCCTCTCCTGGCGCCGGGGAGCGCTGGGAGAACCAGCTGCATGTAGCCGACTCGCCCACCTCACCATGTTTTGGCATCCTAGCACGTGGTCCGCCCCAGGATAGCAGTTGGTGGCGAGCGATGGGGGGAATTGACAAGGAGAAAGCCTTCTCAGAAGGCTCGGAAGTCCCCCAGCCTGAGAAGTTTCCTGAAGGCGCGAGGGCTTCTGAGAAGCCCCGCCGCCTTCTGAGAAGGCGTTCTCCTTCTCATTTCCCCCCCTTCGC